AAGACATCTCCCACACGATTACCTTAACCAACTCCGACTCGCTCAGCTCAGATCACAATCCCATCATCATCAACATAAACGAACAATACGCCTGCGACCCCCTTACCCCAACCCCCCACATTGACTGGGACGCCCTCTCATACTACCTTGGAGAGGCTCAAATTCAGGACCACTTTCCGCATAATGCCAACGACCTAAACATCCTCACCAAAACCCTAACAAAAACCATCACCGCCGCCGTGTCCAAGGCCACAACCCTAAAAACTAACAAAAACCTAAATCCCTTTAGCCTCCCACCCGAAATCAAATCACTAATCAAATCCCGTAACAAGCTCGAACGTAGAGCCAAACAATTTGCAGACTCCGTACTAAACAAACAAGCTAACAAAATTTATAAACTAATCAAAATCCAAATTAACTCTCTGAAAAACGAAAAGTGGTCCGAATTCTTGGAAAACATCCCAACTGGCGACTCTGACGCCTGGAAAGTCTCCAAGGCCTTGCTAAGAACAATAAAAACTTCCTTTCCCCCCATACATGGCGAGAGGGGACTGGTTTATACGGACGAGGAAAAAGCAGAAGCTTTTGCCGACTCCCTAGAACGCCAGTTCTCGCCCAACATGTCTCAGACGGACGACCTTAATTTCGAGGAGGAGGTTGAAAACATCCTCCAAGAAATCAAGCACAGACGGAATCCCCCAAACTCCCCGGCCATACCCCCAGTAACGCTCCCCGAACTTAAAGCCCAAATCGCCGCCCTCAAAACCCGCAAAAGTCCCGGTCCCGACCAAATTTCCAACAAAACCTTCAAACTCCTCCCAGAAAACCTCTTTAACCAACTCCTCACCCTAATCAATGCCTCCTTCACAACCCAACCCCAACCCTGTGGAAAACTGCCTCCATCAGCCTAATCCCCAAACCCTCCAAAAACAAGACCTTTCCGCAAAATTGGTGGCCCATCAGCCTCCTATCCTCCCTCTCCAAAATCACCGAAAAACTCTTCCTAAGCCGCCTCCTTGACCTAATCTCCGAACACCAGCTAATTCCTCGAGTGCAGTTCGGTTTCATGCAAAAACATGATTCCGTACTGCAAGCTGCCAGGCTAATTCAAGATGCCACGATCGCTGCCCAGGACAAGGGATCCACTGGAGTCATTTGCCTGGACATGCAAAAAGCGCTCGACAAAGTATGGCACGAGGGGTTAATCTGGAAACCCCTCCACCTACACAAACTCCCCTTAACCTTCGTCCAGTATGTGGCAAGCTTTCTCCAAAAGAGAAAGTTTTTGATATCACTGAACGGCACCAAATCCTCTATTCGGTCCATCGAGGCCGGGGTCCCCCAAGGGGCCCCGCTATCCCCAATCCTTTATAACCTTTTCACGGCCGACGCCCCCAAAAACCCGTACACTAAACTAGCCCTATTCGCCGACGACACTGGCATCTACTACTCAAACCGAAACCTGAACTACATCGTTCTCACCCTCCAAAAACACCTCGACGCCTTCCAGGACTGGGCCGAAACCTGGAAAATCCAAATAAACCCAGACAAAACCTAAACCTTACTCATAACTCATAAACGAATTACTTACAAGACCCCCAGACTTACACTAAACGGTTCCCCTCTGGACTACGCCAAAACCATTAAGTACCTTGGGATAACAATCAACCCCAGACTAAATTTCAACGCCCACATCGCCACTGCCCTCAAAAAAGCGCACCGAACCACAGCCTGTTTGTACCCACTTCTAAACCAAAAAAGCACCCTCTCCCCTAAAAACAGAATTCTGATTTACAAACAGGTCATCAGATCCCAAATTTGTTACGCTGCCCCCATCCTTAGCCAAACCTCCAAATCCGCCATTACTAAACTCCAAAGATTCCAAAACAAAATCCTCCGGCGTATGACGAGACGCCCCTGGTATGTCCGCAACTCCCAGATTCATGCAAACCTCGAAAAGGAAACCATTGAGGACTTCATTTCGAGGCTTCACGACAAGTTCAAAGCCCGCGTCCTATCACATCCAAACCCCCTAATCAAATCCACCTTCGCCCAAAAAATCTCAAAACACAACTACCTCACACTAACTAGCCTCATGGAAAACCCCCTTTGGTACCACCCACCGTAGCTGAACTGACCAACAAACCCCCAACAACAAACGCTTGACTTTCAAAAGCCCCCCAACTCGCCCCCGCGCAAATCGCTTCCTGGAGCCATAAAAGCCTAAAAAAAACTTCCCCCCTCTCAAAAGAACCACCACTAACACAACACACTTCCGCTGAAAAGCAAACCCCCCAACACCCTCACCCAGGTATCCTCAAGGTACCAGCACAAAAGACGTAAGGCCTTAAATGTGCTAAGTCTATAAAACATCCACGCACCAGAGGGGAGTCAGTGAAGTGACAGCAGCGTCCGCGTTCAGAAGAGGTTAAATCCCGCGAGTTGGAAGAAGTAAGTTTGTTCCTGTTCCGTATTTAAAGTTATACCGAGGTGCATAAAAGTTGGAAGCTGAAGAAAGAGTTTGATACCTGGCCATCAACGGTACAATATCTTATATGCAGTTATTTCATTTGAAAACAAACATCCAGATAAAATATTCCTCAAATTTGAACAATTAATCAAAATAGGAAACGTATGTCGACTTACACAAGGAAGAGAAACTTCAATGACAAGTTTAATTTAATTCTGACAGTCAGCCCTACGCTCCAAACTATTGGCACTTTACAATTCAAATATCACTCCGCAACAAATAATAAGTTAATACAGATAATAAAATTAACTATCCAAAGAGGTAAGAAAAATTAACATCGGCGATCCGTCTTAGAATTCAGGAGAGAAAATGTGTCAGATTATGACTGAAACATTAGTTAGAAACGATATGTGGTAATATATTGATTTGACCTTCTAGAGAATAGTAACATCTATTTTGGAAATATCCACCAACACTGTTACTTAACTACAAATGTTAAGCAAAAATTCGTCTGTTAAATTAGATTTTTCACTTTTTTAATACGATTAGGTAGGATTTTGTAAACAACTGTGTTCAAGTCACCCCATAGAAAAAAGTATAGAGGAGTCAAATCTTGAGACTTTGCTGGCAATTCTATTACACCCCTTGTACTAATTCATTTGCCCGGATGCTCCTGATGCCCCTTCTCTCTAAATGGTAAAGCCAAAGTATGTTGTACTCCATCACGTTGGAAATAAAGATTTGTTTCACCAAGCAGCATGGACTGTTTTTCATTTAATAACTATTAGTTGAGAGAGAGGGGTTGCTGGTACCCCACAGGGTGCATCTCGAAGAGACGTGGCCAGGAGCGACTCCCAGATATGGGTGGTGCCGGTGAAACCAAATAACCCACGCGGACCAAAAACTAGGACAAGGATACGTCGGTGCCTCAGACTTTGGTGGTACTCCATGGGCGGACGGGGCTCAATAACCGAAGAACAGCGAGCCCGTCTGGAGTAGAAAACTTCCATAATTCATTCCAAAATCATAAGACCAAATTTATGAAATGTCAGCAGGTCTAAACGAATTTCACTCAGGAGCTGATTTCTGATGAATATGCGCTTGTCAAGTACGGGACAATTCAAACTGAGTACCTATAACATGGCTTCCACGTACATGTGTCAGGCATATTTCTGTTATATTTCTCTCCAGCCCTTTTGTCTAACTTTTTTTTGGAACTAACTAAATGTTTTCAACAGTATTGGATTTTAATTCTTCGCCATGTTTTTCTCTTTTCTTCAGTTACCAACTTACTTTTCAACAAATTAACTAAATGTCGGGTTGCAAAGCACAATTACCTCAGGCACAGAGCAAAGTGCTCAGAATCTCACACTAATTTTCGCGTTTTAAAGCTAAAAAACATCTCTTGTTTATATTAAAGGATGTGACTCTGCTGGAGCTGGGTAAATGTATACTGACCCAGATATAATTCATTGTGTACGGTTATACATAGTTGACGTTTCCTATATCCACAATATTTTCATCTTTTAGCTGATAAAATTCACTTTCAGATATTTTAGCTGTTTTACGACACGTGGATAAAAGCATTTAATGTCGTAAAATAGTTCAACTATCCGCCGTACCGGCTTGTCCAATGGCGTGCCAGATCAGCAGATATGTGAGTTTTTGCCGTCATGAGACGAAAATTCACGGTCGAAGAGAGTTTATAAAGTACGAAATCGAATATAACTATATTCTAAAGAAAACGTTTCTATCGTAAAGAAGCTAGAAATCTGCTCCTGCCAAAAATAACTAATTTTCTGTAGTTTCGCCCATAGCACTTTGTATACAGGGTGATTTACGTAGACCGTAAACTAGAAGTTTTCCAACTTACAATTGTTGAAGAGACTTCAAATGTTGTCTTCAAATGAGACTTCAAATGTGGGGATATGGTATATATGATTAGAACAAGCATGGAGCCCTGTGAACCCTATGATGGAATATAAAAATAACACAATACCAAACATTCATATTTTTAATTCATTCTAATTTATTTTATTTTCTACTATTTTGTCTTTTAATTTATTTTATTACAAAAATTATACAGGGTGATGTACGATCGATGGCATATTAGACGTTTAAGGAGAACGCGATCCTCGATCAATCTGCAAATTTGTACGAAGTCATGGGATATGGTCTTTCGGCCTAAACTATTTTCAGCAATGCGAGATTGCTGCTTATACCGAAAATTGCATGCAACTTTGATGATTTAAATGAGGCACCCTGTATATGATTGCACGCTTAGATTGGCTATAAAGATCTGATTATTTTTACATAACGATTCCCATATCTAAAGCGGTTTCTGAAATATTAAATAAAATTCATTATTTTTAATCAAAACGTAGCCCCAAGGAATCTTGTATTAGATTTATAGATATATAGATTTCGGAAGGAAAACCTTATGCTTGAGCCCGGCGTAGAGCAATTTGTTCCAAATTATACAGCATGCCTTTAAAATTCTGACTTTTTGGGTAGAGATAAAAACCGCTCCAATTAATTTTTTTCAAATAGAACACCCTGTATATTAGTTCAAATATGGGAAGACCGTTACGTTCCCTGTGAAACGATATATCATGTTTCTATACCTAAAGCGTCTAATTCCCGAAATTAATGGACATTTTTGCAAAAATTCGATTATGGCGACGTATTTGTCAAAATAGCCATGAAATCTCATAATAATTGAATATTTTCCAATTCTTCAAACCAGTTGCCAAGTCAACAGTCAACAAAGTAATAGAGACAGCTTTTATGCACTTTTTAATGCAGTTTAGACTTAATTATTCACAAAATGAAGCGCAACAATTATTCAAACGAAGTTTTAATGAAACTATTTATTTTTTTTCAAAATTGGCGTCATTCCTTTTAAGAGGTGATAGAAGCTCCCTTGGGGAGTACGAGAAAAATATTGAAATTTTTTTTTTCCAAAATTTCTAGAGGATATTAACAGTTGAAGATCGAATTTCAATTTTGTTATTAAGCATTATTTTAAAATGGTTTCATATTTAATTGGTAGCATATTGGAATATTTAAGCATCCAAAAAGAAAAATTACGACCTTTGCTTCAAATTACGAAAATTTTTGATATGGAAAAAGTTCTCTTCTACAATTTTTTGATGAAACGGCACACCGGCAATGATGCTTTTTGTCATTAACAGATAGTTACAGGTGGATAACCCTTGTCAATCATAACAATTTTGTCAAACTGTGACTTCCTTTGAATTTCTCTTCACGAATTTGCGGATATGCGATTAGTTCAAGGGAAATGCTACAGTAACATAGCAGGAGCTGAAAGAACTCAGGCCTACAAAGGGCGAGGAGAGTGGTTCCAGGAAGATAGTAGACGACAATCCATTTTCGGGTTCCAGGCACAGAGAAACAAGTATTGGACATAATCGAATCAGGGCCTTCCAGGGGTACTCAGAGCACAATAACTGACACTTTCCCAAGCACCAAATAAATACCGAAAAAGGGCTACATTCCTACCACGTTTGTACGATACACACAGCACAAGGAGATAAAGATGGAGCAGGAGTTAATTAACTGAATACAAGAAGCTGCTTGATACGTGTGGATAATTAGGAGATTACACAGGTACCAGCTTTTTGGAGTTAACCATTAAAATGTTTGGTGTTGTATGGTTTATTTTTAAACCCCAATATTCAAGGTTATAAGAACACGTTGACATTTCGTCAACAAATATTGATGAATTTACCGTTTATCCTTGTCTATCTTATTGTCAGTCTGTATAATTCCATGATTACCGGAGTTTTAAATAATTACGAAGCCAYAGTTATTTGCGCAATGTTAATTAGGCAGATTACCTTGMAAAACATTGTTGCCTGATTTCTGATATAGTTTTTTGCAAATTTCTCAGTTTTTAATAACAATTAATTTATTTTACTATTCTTCTGTACTCCTATAACAGCGCCAGACAACACCTCCAGAGGAATGGAATTTTTAGCTCTAACCAAACGGTCAGTATTTTCAAGTC